CTTTTCTCATAATGTAGAAGTGGATGCCTCCATGAATAACCCTCTCCAGCCAACAAGATTTCTCCTTTTGTCTTTTCTTTTAGGCTCCCAATTCCACCTCGGTTTGTCTCCTTCTGCAATAAAGCAAATCTTCACCGAGTGCTCTTCTGTGTTGTCTTCTTGTATCAATTGTTACTCTTGGCACGCTTGAGAGTGATCACTGGAATTGTTGTGTCGAGCCTCCTCAGGGTCTAAGCGGCGGAGAAATTTTGACCGACTTCAGCCGTGATCTTCTCTTGCGGAGAGACAGACCGCACGTGTTGCTGTTTATGGACGTGAAGAGACCAAACACGGAGAGTGATACAGAGAGTGGAAGCTTCAAGATGTGCGGTTGCGCGTGGCGGTGCCACCGTGAGAAGCGACGGCGTGGGCTACGAAGTGAACAGCGGTAGGAGCTTCCCCCTAAGATCGTGTTTTCCCTCCTCTCTCAATATTTGCTCTCTCTCTCTCTTTTTCGTGGCCGTGTAATCTATTATGTGTGGACTACCCCTCCGTGGTCGAAACTCCCCACCTTTTATAGCGCCTTCCTTGTACTGCAAAAGAGGAAATCTGAATAAAAAGAATCAGTAAGATTCCACGATTCCTCCGTTATCTTTTTTACTCTTCTATTTATGAGTGTATGTGTATCATGTGTTAGTCTCTATATCTTTCCTTGCATAATAAATAAGAGTGGTGGGCCAATAATCTCGCAAGTTTGTCCTCGCCTTGCTCCTCCTTCATACTTACTTCCCCAAATAGTTGAGCACGTACAAATTAACTAGGAATCCATGCTGATTCAATTCTTTGTGACTAAAAATCTTGATAATATCAAGATTTATTGTTTCAAATATTCATCAAATTTTCCTGACTTGACGCATATGATTTTAGCCACTGCGAGCTTAATCCCTTTAAGCTCAAAACCATCCGCTCGAGTCCATCCACCGCCAGTCCAGTGCAAATACAATTATATGGGCCTAATTACTAATGCAAATGCTCATAATATCTATATGCATTTTAATTAATATTTTTTCTAGAGACCAGGATCGATCCCTAATTTTTTATGCTAAAAATAACTAACTGGGTCACCAAAATTTAGGTGTCAACAATGGCAACTATTTTAAGATTTCGTAACTTCTTATGAACAAGTGTTGTTACCACTTGTTGTAACCGCAAATAAGATTAAGAAGTTATTTTTTCTAAAGATAAGATTAGGAATTTATCTTTTAAATCTAAAGATTGTCTATAACCATCGATTGCAGGCTAAGAGCCACATTGTAATGTTTGTAGAAATCTCCCAATCAATCAGAAAACTCAACATTTTATTGCAAATTTATCTTTATTTTTACATTTTCACAATTTAAATAGCTTGCCGCGATTACCTTTAAGTCTTCGTATCTTGAAATTTTTTGTCTTTTACTTTCCTGTCCAAAATTAACAACAGACCTTTCACAACTTTTGTCGATTCACTCATCCATCTATCAATAAGATATTTCCTCAACACTTTTTGACAAAACATCCTTTCGACACGCCTGGTGAGAAGCATTTTGTTGATTCAAGGAGATTACCATAGCAAGAACAAGAAATCAGTAACAATCTGACAATGTTACCAACAACAGCCACCCATTACCATAAACTGGTAATGAGGCAACTGCGCATTTTGAGTCCTTAGCCACTGAAAAAGTGGCAGAGGATAACTAGTAAGGAGATGTTGATCTTTCAAGGCATCGTACTAAAGAGCGAATAAGAGATATTGCTCCAAATTCTAACATGGTGTCTAGCGTGAGAAGTTCAGCAAAATAAAACGGCTAATCACTTCGTGAGTCACATGTCAGATGTGATCAAGCCAATTGTCATCAATACTGTGAATGATGCTCAATTGAGATCAAGATCGTCCAATCAACCAATACTATTCCAAGCCAATCCAGGCTATGTTCCCAATCTCTCTCCATTTATTGATGTTAGTTAAAATACTCATAATAGAATTAACAATTTGGCAAACCAAAACCGCCATCAAAATGGACCAAAGCCAAACCTTGAAAATATAAGGCCAATTAGGCTGCGCATGGCAACTTGCCAAATAGTGTTTGATTCTGTTCTTTTGTTCCCAGAATCAGTTTGGGAATAGAAATCCGTTTGTTTAATTTTTTGATTATGGGTACAAATTCTTGCAAATTTGTGCCCAGAATCAGTTTTGGAGCAGAATCAAGAATAAAAAAAAAGTAGCGTCTTGATTCTGGGAACAAAAATGAGAATCAGTTTTTTTTTTCTTCTTTTTCTTGGTTTTTAATATAACTTTTAATGTCCGGCGCGAGGGCCACCCTCGCCGTATCTGGCGAGATTAAAATATTTTAATAAAAAAATATTATTAATAAAAAATTTTACCGGCCATGGCCAGCGACCAGGCCATGGCGAAAAAAAAATAAAAAAAAATATTATTAATAAAAAAATTTTACTGGCCATGGCTAGCGACCAGGCCATGGCGAAAAAATATAAAAATTATTTTCAATAAAAATATTTTTTATTAAAATATTACTAATAAAAAAATTATTTATAAAAAATATTTTATCGGCCATGGCAAAAAAAATAAAAAAAATAATTTCAATAAAAATATTTTTTTATTAAAATATTATTAATAAAAAAATATTTATAAAAAAAATATTTTACCGGCCATGGCCAGCGACCAGGCCATGGCGAAAAAAAAAGAAAAAAATAAAATATTTTTAGTAAAATATTTTTAAAAAAATTATTAATAAAAAAATTATTTATAAGAAAATTTTTTACCGGCCATGGCCAAAAAAAATAAAAAATTTATTTTTAATAAAAGTATTATTAATTAAAAAATATTTTACCAGCCATGACCAAGGAGGAGAAGAAAAAAAGAAAATAAAGAAATATTAAAATATTTAAAATGTTATTAAAATATTATTAATAAAAAGAAATTTTATGCCGTTACCAAACGCATTTCTGTTCTTTTACTATTTCAGGAATAGAAATTTTGGGCCGTTACCAAACGCCTTCAAATGCTCAGAATCAGTTCCCGGGCACAGAATAAAAAAGAATCATTTCTGACCAAAATCTGTTCCCGGGCACAGAATGGTTGTCATGCGCAGCCTTAGTATACAAGTGTCACTCAATGGGGCGAATACTTGTTAGGCCTAACACGCTAATTAACATAGATAATCTGGCAAGACCATCATCACCGCCTAAGGGGCAAGATGGCCAACCAAATCCATAGTTGAACCTAGCAAAGATTGTCAAAGAAGTTTGACAACAATTGGGGTTAGACAGTAGTAGTTTATAGGAAATCACATCTTGAATTGGTCAATAATCAGCCTTTTACAAGAGACTTCAAAATCCTTGACTTTGCCATTATTACTAGCGAAGATGAACAATCGACCATCAAATGCATTGGTCGATTAATACCCCGGTGTGGAGAAGTAAGGACAAATAAGTTTTTAAGACTTAGGTTATTTTCCTTGTCTTTATCGAAAAATGCTTTCACTTGGTATACTAACTTACCACCCAATTCTATTGGAAACTAGTGTGAGATGGAAAAACAATTCCATTCTCATATCTATAGAACGATACCTAAGGTATCGGATGCTGATTTGGTCAAACTCTATCGATATAGTAATGAGTTGGTTGATCAATTGTTGCTTGATTCAAAAAGGCTAAAAATAGATGCCTTACTTCATTCTCTGAAAAAGAGTTCACGAATTTGGCTTTCAATGGGTTGAAATTTAATCTTATAGAAAAATTCGAGATTTTGCCGATTTATTTCAATTGGCAACGAGAGTGTCTAAGTATGAGCAACTACTTAAAAAACAAAGATAGAGAGCCACATGAAGACTTTCTGCAACGTGGCTTTAATGGAAAGATATGAATCAGATGATGTATCTAAGCAAGATAAAATTCGGCAAGGAAAAATGCAATTTGTTGATGCCACGGGAGTCTATGATGACTCTAAATTATCTAATTTAAAGGAATCGAACGATCGATAAATTATTCAGTTTTTTTAAAGGGGCTTATGTTGACACAAAAAATGACTAACTTTTAGTTATAATCGACAAGTGACAAACCCAGTTGACAATAGAAGAGTTTGGTGAACAACGATAGTTATTAATAAAAAGAACAATGGGCAATTTGCTAAGGAATTTAACGACGGCAAAGATCAGTTATTACAAGAAACCTCATAAGGGATGAAGTCATTGATATCTGCATGTAACTGCCGAGTTGCAATATTTTCGGATATGTAACTTCTGTTAGACAAGTGTTGCTTATAATAACTGCTGGGTGGTTATATTTATGGCCACTATTTTAGGATTTTATAACTTCTAGTGGATAAATATTGTTGTGATTTCTTTTGAAGATAGGATTAGAAAGCAATCTTTTAAATTCAATAACAATTTGTAACCGTAATTAATTGTAGGTTTTAAATAGCCACACTATACTATTTGCAGAGACTCTAATCAATCACAGAACTCAACATTCTTTGCAAAATTATCTTTCATCTTTACTTTTTCGCAACTTAATTGGCCGGCCGCGATTGGCTCTAGTGTTAAATTTCTTCTCATTTACTTTCCTGTCCAAAAGGTCACAATCTCTATCGATTCACTCATTGATCCATCCATACTTCGAAAGGTATTTTATCGATACTTTCCGGGGAAATAACGGTGGTAGACTATTCGAAAACTTGAGCGCATAATCAATTAATTTTAAATAGCTTGATTCACCAAAATAGAAGGAAATTTGAAAATCTTAGATCTCAAGGCCACCCTCTCTCACGTGGCAAGTTTGTAGAACGATGGAGGAGAGGTCGATTCATTGCGTACGGGGGAGGGTAAATGAAAACTTGCCCTGGGTCTCTTAAAACATTTTTACAGAGATGACCAAACAGCTTACACCAGCAAAAAGAAGAGAGGATTACAAATATTCTTTGGACTGCCCGAGCGAGAACGCAAGGAACCCAAAACGGAAAGCTAAAGTTTGGCACATGCAAGAAAGAATAACCCCCACTAAAACAAATAATAATCATAATGATAAAGAAGACCCTCTTTCTCTTCACTTCATCGTCCTCCTCCATATAATAATCTCTTGAACACGGCAAAGCAACACCAGCATCATCATCATCAGTCATCTCTCTCTCTCTCTCTCTCTCTCCCTCTCTGATCGCCAACAATGGGACTCTGCTCCTCCAAATCCCAGAACATTCCCATCTCTTCTTCTTCCTCCCAGTCTCCCCCTCGCAGGAAACCCCACCCACCGTCTAGAGGCCCGCAGCCACAACCACCGCCAATGCCACCGCAATGGCAACCACCGAAACCGCCACCTTCGTTCACCGGCCAGCAGCCGCCACCGCCGTCCTCCCAGATCGGCCCCATCCTCCGCAAGCCCTACGTGGACATAAACACCCTGTACAATCTGGACCGCGAGCTCGGCCGCGGCCATTTCGGGGTCACCTACCTCTGCACCGAACGCTCAACTGGCCTCCAGTACGCGTGCAAGTCCATCTCGCGGTGCAAGCTGGTGACCCAGAAGGACATCGAGGACGTCAGGCGAGAGATCCTGATGCTGGAGCACCTGTCAGGGCAGCCCAACATCATGGAGTTGAAGGGCGCGTACGAGGACCGGCAGTATCTGCACCTGGTCATGGAGCTTTGCTCCGGCGGCGAGCTCTTAGACCGGATCATTGCCAAGGGGGCGTACTCGGAACAGGAGGCGGCAAGGATCGGGCGGCAGGTGGTGAACGTGGTGCACGTGTGCCACTTCATGGGGGTGATGCACCGCGACCTCAAGCCCGAGAACTTTCTGCTCGTCAGCAAGCACGAAGACGCCCCTCTCAAGATCACCGACTTCGGCCTCTCCGTTTTCATCGAACCAGGTCGGTTGGTTCAGTTGTTTGCTGCATGTTGTTTGGATTAGAATTTTCCTTGTTTAGCTAGACACACGAACCAAAGAGGCGATCCCAGCCAATAGTCCATGCGCACCAGCCACGTCTGGAGGCTAGTTACTCACCGACTGTGAACTTTCTTCATCATAAGTACTAGCACAAGGAAGGAATAGCTACCAACTATCTTGTTCTTTCCATCATCTTATGGACTACACAAGTAGAAGAAGGGACGCCACGAAAGCCTTGCTGTTCTTGATGCTTAGCTTGCCGTTTTGTTTATGGGGGGTGAGATTAGATTGGCGTCCAAGTTTGCATCTCGCTGACGTTGGAGTAATTTGTTTGGCACTTTTCCCTTTCTTGTTCGTGATTCAGTATGGGATGTTTGGCGATGCTTGTCTTGTCGGTTATTCCGGAACACGTGGAACCGTTTTCTTCATCGGTTTGCACACATTTTAATCTTTTGTCTCCTTCAAGCCTCTGATTCTAACCAAGTCTTTCCGGAATCTGTTTGAGTTTATAGAAACGAATGACGTCGAAGAGATGCAGTAATTGACTACATTCTTGCCTTTCGGGCATCGTAGGTTGCGTTTTCTTCGCGGGGTTCTGTCGCCGACTAGAATTAGCTGAAAAGGAGAATGACGAGGGAATCCATATCATCGCGGATCGTGAATATTGGAAGCTGATGATGCTTCGATATGGGATTTTTTTTCTTTTTTTTCGGGTGAGTGATGATGATATTTCGGGTCGGGGTCAACGGGCAGGTCAAGGATGGGTCAACCGTTGTTAATAATTGAATCGAGAAAAGCTAAGAGAAAAGAGAGGGAGACAAAAAGTAATGAAAAATAATTGGGGCTCCCATGAAAAATTCTTGATCAAGTGAGCCCACTTATTTGATTCACGTTGGAATCGCATGATTTGAAGACTAAAATAGAGTGGACCAACATTTGTCGAGTGCTCATAAAACTTGCACTATGACCCCAGAGCCTCGTCTCGAAGATTCACCAAATGTGCATAGGGGAGGACTGGCTCCGGCGGGACATTACTAGGTGGGTGTTGGAGAGGGCCATGATTATTCATGGGTTCAAGATTTGAGTAATCGATCCAGGACAAAATTAGGAATTTTGTCGGGCCCGACCTAAACCATTGGTGAGGTTCCACACCAGTTCCGATGAGACTAGGTTCTGTTCTTCGTTCATGAATCTTGGACCTGGTTGAAATCAGTCCGTTGTCGGCTAACCAGTCAGACGTAGAAACCAGTAGCGAAATCGGTCCAATAGAAATTGCAATCAAATTTCTTTGTTTTGTTACTTAACAAGCATTTAAGGGCACTATTTCACAAAATTCTTTTTTTGTTCTACGTAGAAGTGAAAAATCACATGAATGAAATTTCACATCAGATATAATCTTTATTTTGGATCGAAAATACTCCTGTTGCTTCCTAAATTCTTGAGTTCTGCAGCTTAATTTCCTCTCTGCCTTCCTCATTTTTATTGGGATAGAATTGCTTCTCACTCTTGATTCTCTCTTCCAAAAGCTCCGATGCTAATGAATTGCTTTTATATACCAGTTTAATGGAATTTTACTTGTGTCTATTTCTCTCTCTAGCTTAATTTGTGTAGGAAATTTTGTCTATTTTCGATGAGTAACTTCTAAATTTATTAAATTCATGTACATTTTATACCATAGAGTCTGTTTCTGTTTCTGTCTTATCGTATGATTTGTTGCTGGAATTGCGGACTCGGCGAAGTTCTGTATTTTAGGAAGTTTTCCAAAAGTCACCGTCTTAGGTTCTAAAAAGATTAGCAGCATGTAGATCGCGTGGTGATGCTTGTTAAGTAACTGCATCAGACCATCTCAGGTTTTGTACCACCATGTGTGGTATCTGTACATCCTAAAGTCATGTCTGCATTAACCTAGGAAGAGGAAGGAGTTTTGCAGTAGAATGTCGCTTTTGGCAGAAGGACACTAGAGGTGCCAAAAGTTGGGTACGGCACTCACTTTAGTGCCAAAAGTTTTTTTTAGATCACTTAAGTGCCATTTAAAAAAAAACAATCATTTAAGTGCCAATTCCAATTAGGGTCGCCGAAAATCCGACAATGCCATTTTTTTTTATTAATTTCTTAGTTCAACGTGCTCGCCGGTGTGCCCAGTTACCATATAACCTCTAAATTACGTCGTTTTTCTCCTAAATATAATCCCTAAATCGATTTTTTTTTTGGAAACCTAAATCAATTGACCAAACAAATTTCCACTGAGCTTTCTGTGTTCTTGAATGTGCTCTGTTCCGAAGGACTGGTGGTGGCCGGCGACAGAAGCTAGATGCTAACCAGAGATGATGGACAATGAATAGTGACGGAGAAGCCTCTGGAATCTGTGAATGGATGGAGATTTTTACTTTGCTCCCTCTCGGTGATCTATCGCCCTATGTTCCAATGCCCACAAAAAATCCGATCATATGAGAATGGTCATTAGTTAGATGAGAGAGACAACTAGAGAGACAGAGATTCCACTCCAGCGTCGATGCGGTGACCTCCTTTTGGCGTGCGCTCAACAAATTTTGCTTCGCTTTGCCTCCACGGTGCGTGCCCATTTCCACCATGAGACTACCAAGAAGAGAGATTTACAAGATCCTCAAATGGCCAATTCCCATGCGGCAGCCAAGTCCGCGAAATCGCAAAAATCGGCCTCTAAAAACCCTAATCAGGTGAGTAATTGCTCTCCGAAGAACAAAATTTGAGATTGAAAGTTTGTTTTGGCGAAGAGGAAGGCAAGTAAGGGGGAAGCCAAATCTAGACGAGCGACGTTTGGAGACTGAGATAGGCAGTCCAAATTTGGACAAGCAGCTGGCGAGCGACGCATGCTTGTCCATGACCGTCGTCGACGTCATTCGGCCAGATCCGGTCACCTCAATTAGTGCCGACAACTAGGTTGGTGGCAACGATGGGGGAGCGGTGAAGGTCGAACTCGGAGAGAGAGGGAATGATCAAATGGGTTTTTTGTGGAGATGTGTAAAACAGACCGCCTGGACTGGACCGGTCGGTTTGGTCCGATTCCCTGGAGTGTCGGTCCGGTTCCCAGTTCCAAAGGGGAACCGGACCGACTATATATGCTTTTTTCTATTTTTATTTCTTCAAAAAAATTAGTAAAATGTGAACTAAACCCACGTACAACGCTTTCCCCTTATCGTCGCACCACAATAGCTCTTCACCCATCGTCGCTTCCATCAATATTTTGAGATATGTCACTCTCCCTCGTTGTGGTGGGAAAAAATATAAAATTGACCGGTTCCCGGTCCTAATAACAAACGGTCCGATCCTCGGTTCTCAAAATTGGGAACCGATCCTCCCAGTCCGATTCCCGGTTCCAATTTGGAACCGGACCAGACCAACAACTAATCACCCCTAGTTTTTTGAACAAGAGGGATCGGAGGAATGCAGGTGAGGGAGCAAGCTGACGCCATTGTTGCAGAGAGCGAGCTTAGAAAGAGGGTAACAGTCGAGAGAGATGAAGAGAAAAAAAATGCCCATATTTTCTCTTCTTCTTTGTAGGACAGTAATCAAAGAAGTTCACATGGACTGGTTTTTTATATTAATTTTTTTAATATAAATGCCACGTATATTTTTTGGCTGGAAATTCTCGCTATAAGCACTTAAATGATTGTTTTTTCTATGTTTTGGCTCTTAAGTAAGCCAGCGAAAGCCTTTGGCACTAAATGAGCATTGTACACAACTTTTGGCACTTTTAGAGTTCTCCTGCCATCACTCTTGAGTACACCCTTTGACGGACTAGCCGCTAGGTGTCTAACTCTCTTATTTTCCTCGTGACTTGATCATCCAGCAATGAAATTAGTAAATCTTAATGGGTAATTTGAAACATCATTGCAGGGAAGGTGTACAAGGACTCTGTGGGAAGTGCGTACTATGTTGCGCCGGAAGTATTGAATCGAAACTACGGGAAGGAAATCGACGTCTGGAGCGCAGGTGTCATCTTATACATCCTTCTTTGCGGTTCACCTCCCTTCTGGGCAGGTAAGTCTTTGCTCTTACTATAGTTGTTCGCTGATAACTATATTGTCAGGTGTTTTCCGGATTCAATTGCAGTTTTCCACATCCTTGTAAATCGTTTTTGAGAAAACAAACATCTTTTGTTCCATTGGACATCGATCCTGATTTCGCAATGATCAATTCTTGTTAGACTAGTATCTCCTGATTTTACTGTGAATCTGTAACATTTATCTCCCTTTCAGAGAATGATAATGGTATATTCAAAGCAATATTGGAAGGTGACCTGGATCTAGAAAGCACTCCATGGCCATCCATTTCCTCTTCGGCGAAGGATCTCATCACGAAAATGTTGATGAGGGATCCTAAGAAAAGGATCACCGCCGCAGAGGCCCTCGGTAAGTGCTCCTTTTTCTAGTGAAATTCGGTGGTTTCATATCAAAATCAACCAATTCCTAGCGAGTTCATGAAACAATATTCTTTGATCAAGTTTGTCCACATTAATGTATTGACAGGATAACGAATTAGATCATAGTTTAATTGGCAAATCTGAACCACAAGTCAGGAAAAGTGAGGAATGTCTTCTTCGTCGAATCAACCTTTTGTTCATCAAAATGCGTACTTGATAGCGAACAAAGATGTATTGCCGAGCTTTCTAATAGATTCAGACCGTCAGTTCTGATTAAAAAAAAAACCCAAAAATCATTAAAAGAACACTGACATATTGTTAGCGCACAATGTATGGACAGAACATCCTTGGCTCCGGGAAGATGGACTAGCATTTGATAAACCTATTGATAATGCTATCTTGCGAAGGATCAGGCAATTTAGAGCGTCGAACAAGCTGAAGAAACTTGCCCTGAAGGTAATGTTTTTCTACTAATCTACGGATATATTCCTTGCATAATTGGACATCAGGTTCCAGAAATAAATTAGGCAGTCTAGCTTTGTACACTTCTTGAACAATCATCATCTCGGTTTTACTTGAATTCATAGCTCTTATCAGTAGTCTATATTATATGATTTTGGCGACAAAGGATGCTATTCTATATTCTTGAGGTGTACTTTTTTTTTTTGTCGAATTTGAGGTGTACTTGAAGAGCTGCTTCAAAGTTGCGCTTTCCTTACTGGAATTGTTATTGAGGTAATTGCGCAAAACCTCTCGGAAGAAGAAATCAAGGGCTTGAGACAAATGTTCAACAACATGGACACTGACGGAAGTGGTACGATCACATTCGAAGAATTTAGAACAGGATTGTCTAGGTTGGGATCGAAGCTCACTGAACCCGAAATAAGGCAGCTAATGGATGCTGTAAGCACAACCGATAGTTTGAACTCTCTTTTACTTCTCTATGAAACACTCAGTTACAGTGGAGGAGCTTTTCTCTTCGGGAGGTCACTTCGAAAATGCATTTCTTCTAACAGGCTGATGTCGATAAGAATGGGACCATCGATTACACCGAATTCATCACTGCCACGATTAACCGCCACAGGCTTGAGAAGGAAGATAATCTGTTCAAGGCTTTCCAATACTTCGATAAAGACAGCAGCGGGTTAGTGTTGCTTTCACCTTGTTTCTGCTAGGCTCCAATGTGTTATCCCTAAAGAATAATGAGAATTACCTTATTCGGAGGACGTTTCGCGACTGCTGTTCGGAGAGAGATTAAGGTCTGCAAACGCAATTGAGGGGCCAATGTATCCCAGAACTCCAAAACCTCTTAAATCAAGAACATATCATGCTCAGTGTTGTTAGTGTTCAAAGCTTTTGTATCTGCTTATTTTCTTGACCTGCATTTCGGCTTGCTTAAACTTCTGTAGGTTTATCACGAGAGACGAGCTGAGACACGCTATGTCACGATACGGAATGGAAGACGAAGACACCATAGACGAGATCATCGAGGATGTCGACACAGACAAAGTATCTAATCTTTCCTTGACTCTTAAACTTTGATTTCTCGATCCCTATATCCCCAAACTCATTCAGGTTCATTATGATCCCGCGTATGTGATGCAGGATGGGAGAATCAATTACGAGGAGTTTGTGGCCATGATGAGAAAAGGAACTCAAGATCATAATGGAAACGGGAGATAGGAGGAAAGGTAGATGAATGATTATTTGCACTCCTTTTGTACATTCATCTCTATAATAAGCCTGGACTTCCCAAATTATTATGTTTAATAAGATCGTTGATCATTGGAGAATGGGAATGCAGAATAAATATTTTCCCTTCAGCTTTCTTTTCAGTCTCACATTACTATAAGGATCGCACATCCAATATAAAATATTTGAATTGAGTCATAATTACTCCACACCACTAGCCCCTCGAAAATATGAAGTTTGTGAGCCCGCATCACAGCTTCACCGAGATACTATTGACAATCAGGAAATCTATCCAGGTAGCTATAACAGTTTCAAAATTCACTCACGATCTGAATTGAACTCGTGATCTCGCAAAAGGCAAATGACCATTTCATCTTTCAATCATCCCGGTGGTCTAGAATGTATCCCAACATTTTACAGAGGAGTGGAGAAGATCTCCTGGTGCTCAAAGGGTCGAGCGCACGTGTATCAAGAGGGAAAGAAGAATCTCCTGCCAAACCCTAGAAAATTATACACTTAACATAGACTCGCATTGGCACATGCACGTGCAAAGGCAGATAAAATAAAGATAAGCGAGTGGCCCCGGGGTCATTTTCGAAATCCTTGAAACTTGCTCTTCTCCGTGTCATATGCTTAACCTCTTGTACACTCAACCTTAATGGTCTGCACACGCATTATATTCAAGATTTAACCTTCTCAAAGTCAAGAAACGAGAAAGCAAACTGAAGCGGGACAAGCGCGTCTTCACGCACTTCCAAGAAAAATGTTCCAATCTTTATTGTGGATTCAGGATTTAACTGTTGTGATGGATCTTATGTGGGCCGCCCATGTTGGGAAAGACCGGTCCATGATCTATCATGCCGGCCCATCATCCATTGAGGGATTACTTGCGGATAAAACGGTTACGGATAAAGTAGTAACTGCTAAGGGCAGTTTAAATTGAACTGGGAGATATTCAGAAGATATGTGATTGTGTATCTGAAAATCTTCTCTGTAGAACGTAGTTCTAAAAAAGTCTCCCAAAGTGCAAACAAAGTTCCGCTTCGCAGAGGAATCCGCCAAGAACTCTGAAGCCTGCAAGTGGTGCATTTAATCTGTGGCAAAAGAGGTATGTTCGTTCATGTAATATACTTCAAACGATCGGTGATTCAAGCGTAGAATGGGCACGTTTTTCCGCAAATTATGTATTATGTTTAGGAATCTGTTTCCATCATGTTGATTAAAGAATTAAACTTAGGTAAAGGCTTCGGTTTATATGCTGAACTAATGAGAATGAATGGAGTAATCTGGATGTGACAGGTGAAGGTCTCCTATCTGGAAGGCCATGCAGTGGGCCTCTACTTCTCGGCAAATTGGTACTCGCCATGTCGAAACTTCAACCGTTTCCTATCGAACGACTTACGAGCAACTGAAGACCAATCGGTCCAACTTCGAGGTCGTCTTCATCTCTGCCGATGAGGACCTGAGTGCATTCAACAGTTATCACTCCTCCATGCCGGGGCTTGCGATCCCTGTGTCAGACTTGGAGTCGAAGAAGGCGTTGAGCCGTAAATTCGACGTCGAGAGCATCCCGTGCCTGATCATCCTTCAGCCCAACAGTAATAAGGAAGAGGAGATACTGCACGACAGCGTCGAGCTCGTCCACCGTTATGGGGTCGAAGCGTTCCCGTTTGCGAGGGAGAGATTGGAGGAACTGCAGAGGGAAGAGAAGGAGAAACGTGAGAACCAGTCATTTACCAATTTACTCAGCAGCCATTATAGAGATTATCTTTTGGGTCATCACCCTTCGACCGGTCAGGTTACTATCATTAATTCAGCTTAGACATGATCACGGATTTGATAATTGGCCTAGCTTGTCTAGACTCAAAATGCGAACTATTTGACTTCGGAAACATTTTATGTTAGGTCCAACCTCGAGCTTCAAGTTTGGTCTTTTTAATGAGAATTTTTTCCTTATACTAGGTTGGTTGGATTGGGTCAATCTCAACCATTAATTTTGTGGACCTTGCATAAGCGATAAAAGGAGTTTATTATTCTTATAATGGCCATGGATATAGGAGCAACCATAGATTCCTACGTAGAAACTACCATGTGATCCAAATAATTTAGTTGATACGGAAGAAAAATGGGAATGCCACGTAATAGGGCTAACTTTGTTATCCTAGCTCGAGGTTGGATCGAGTCGGGCCCAAATTGAATCAAGTGGGGAAAAAAAGAATAGTATTAACCAAACTTGAATTAACATTACTTTGCGATCCTAGAAAAACTTGAATTAACATTAGTAGCCAAAGTTCACTCAAAGGTAAAGTATTTCTCAAATACATGGTAGATCATTGTTTCAAAGTGCAGGTACCGGTTGCTTCTTTAGTTGGTAAAACACTGGGCCTATTCTTCTCAGCCCAGTGGTGCCTTCCGGGCATGAAGTTCACTCCCAAGCTCACCTCCATCTACCACAAGATCAAGCACGCGATCTACCTGAGACCGGGCGTCGAGGACTTCGAGATTGTCTACGTGTCAAGCGACTGCGACCGAGCTTCCTTCGATTCCTACTTCACCCTCATGCCCAGGCTCGCGCTGCCCTTCGGGGACCCCAACATCAGGGCGCTCACCAGGCATTTCGACGTGCAGAGCATTCCCTGCTTGGTCGTCTTGGGCCTGGACGGAAGGAAGCATGGCCGGAGCCTGATCAATTCGAACCAAGAGAATACTTACCCTTTAACGGAGGCCCAGTTGGTGTCGCTGTACTGGCAGATGGACGAGGAGGCGAAGGACCTCCCGAAGTCGGAGTTCCACGCTGGCCACCACCACGAGCGCACCCTGGTTTCAGACGGCACCGGTGGTGGGCCCTTCATATGCTGCGACTGCGACGAGCAAGGGTCGGGGTGGGCTTACCCGTGCCTGGAGTGCGGGTATGAGGTGCACACGAAATGTGCCCGGACCTTAGGTGGGGCTTTAACCGTCGGGCCATGAGGGCATGCTTTCTTTTGCTGATAATTCGGATTTCTAATGGGGCGTGTGCATGATATCGCAAAGTCGTTGACTTCGTACCGTTTATTCGAATTGAAGGGCTGGTGATCAAGAGGGTTCTAAGTCTTCTTCTTGATGTGTGAATGTACTGCGAGCATGACGTCCACTTAGATGAGTCCAAAAGAGACGCTACGCTAGGCGATGGTAAATACCAAGTTTAGCTTGTAATCTCCGAAGAAAAAGCACGGGCTTGGATGCCTCAATTGTGATTTAGCGTGACTTGAAATGTGTCGACTACTATGTAGCAATTGACAATGCTAATGGTGATGCGTTGAACGTCCAATCCACATAGACAAGTTAGTTCTATAGGCACACGAAACTAGTGGGTTCGTTTGTTGAAGGAAACCTATTTACGGGAAATTATTTTTCAGTATTTGGACGATGAAAAACTAATTGATTTACAAAAATACGTTTTTCATGTACTAAAAACAAGCAGCTTAGATTAAGGGATAACTACCTCCCCTCTTAATAAAAAGAAAATCACTTTTCCTAAATCACAAAGCAAACGAAAGCTAATTATTTTTCTTTAAAATGATTTCCATGAAAAATATTTTTCCTTTATTATTAAGTTTTCATTGAAACAAATGCACCCTAAATTAGAAAAAGTATTCCATATTAGGGTCCGTTTGTCTTGCGGAATGGGCCGGAATTGGGTTCGCGACAGTTTCCCATATCCCCATCTCTCATTCCCCCTTTCTTCGAGAGGATTCATGGGGCTTCGCAGCATCCGAGCCTCGATTTGTGGAATTCCTTGCATGGGAAAAGTCCCATATGAAACCTCGAAGGCCTCTTTGTCTTCTTCCTTCTTCCCGCTTCTGCTTCACGGCGAGACTAACCGTGAGAGACGACCACTGTTCATGGACGACGTCATCACTTAAACCCTAAATAAACCTTTCGTTTTCTCTCTCTAACAGCCCCTCTCTCGGCTCACCTCAGCTTCGTGTTCGACCAGATCGACGCGATCAAGAAGGAATACGAGCGGTATCAAAAGGATGAGACTCTCCAGCGGATACGCACCTGGCGCAAGGCGAAGAACGCACCCCTGTCGCGGAGAGGAAGTAGGTTTGCCTGAGAGTGAAGTGAGTGGTTTGAAAGGAGGGGGAGTCGGTGAAGGAGGTGGAGTTGGTGCTTCCATGGAGAGAGAGGGTTGAGTTGATGGAGAGGCTAGTGTAGCGAAAGGATTGGGGGAAAGCAGTTTCGGAGAACGAGATGAAGAAGCGAGAAATAAAAAGGAAATCATTTTCCCCAATTTTAGAAAAGTATTTTCCGTTAACTGGAAAATATTTTCTTTGACCACTCATTTTCCACGCCCCAAACACTAGAAATTGTGGAAAAATTTTTATTGGAAACAAACACAGTCTTAATCTGATACTAGTTTTTCTTTGGCCAAGAGATGTAATATTAATCGAGTGTAAACGATTTACATGACAAAAAACTATAGGGAGATAATTTAAATTTTTAATCACATTGAAAGTAAGCGGATGCAAAGATTAAAAAAAAAGAATATGCTTATTAGAAGTCCTAAAACTTATCACAAAAGTGCAATTAAGTTCTATAACTTGCGAAAGATTCAATTGAATTTTAAAACTTGTTAACTTAATTCAATCAAATCCTAAAGTTAACACCATCTAATTTATTAACTGAAAATGCTGACATGTCTTATTTTATTAATTTTCTTGAGACACATGGCATCTAACAAGCGCCACGTCAGAAAAAGTTAAAAAATATAAATTAAATTAGAAAAAGCTACAAATAAAAAAAATATAAAAAAAACAGAGAGCCACAGCCGCGGTGGCCAAGCCCTGCCAGTGGCCATCGCCAAAGCTGCCGGGAAGAGCCGGCAAAGGTCGCATGCGCCTTCCCGAAGCCCAGCGACCCTTGCTGGCCCTGGTGAGGCCACGTCCAGAGTCGCCCACCCCAGGCGAGGTCTCGTCGACGACTCTCACTCAGATTTGGGGCGAGGGTCGCGCCCTCCCCTGACCCTCGCCCCAAATCAGGGCTTGCAAGCCCTTGCCTGGGCCTCGCCTGGGGCCGGCGAGGGTTGCCGAGTTTCGGGAAGGCCTAGGCAACCTTTGCTGGCCCTTCCCGACGGCTGTGGTGGTGGCCACCGGCGAGGGCTTGGCCACCGCCACAACCACTGGTTGTGGGTCTTTTTTTTTCTTTTTTTTATAGCTTTTTCTAATTTAATTTGTATTTTTTTAAATTTTTTGACGTGGCGTTTGTTGGACGCCACATCATCATCATGTGTCTCAAAAAAATTAATAAAATAAGACACGTCAGTGCCCGTCAGGTTTTTCCGTCTGTAAATTAGACGGTGTTAACTTTATGACTCGATTAAATCAATTTGATAAGTTTTAGGACTCGATTGCACCTTTTGTAAGTTCTACTTTTCTGACAAGTTTTATGATTTTTAGTGCACATATCCCAAAAAAAAGGACATGACATTAGAATTTTGAAAAGTTGAGCGTATAATAAATTAATCTAAAATTTTGACTCATCAAAATACAAGGCAATTTGAACCTTTAATCAGATCGAAAGCAGGCAAAATACGATTGTTGACACCCAAAAATGACCACTTTTGGTTATAATCGATAAGTGTCAGACTTACTCGATAATAGCAGAGTTTGGTGAACAAGAGTAGTCATCGACAGTAAATATTAGTTATCGATGAGAACCCTCGGTGACAATGAAGTCATTGACATCTACATGTAACTACGGAGGAACGATATTTTCAGATATGTAACTTCTCTTGTTGATAGTGTTACTAAGTAATAGGAAAGTGCTAGGTGGTTATGTAACTTCTTATAACCGCAAAAAAGATTAAGAAGTTATGTGTTCTAAAGATAGGATTAAGAAGTTATTTTTAAAATTTATTGACCGTTTGTAACTGTCGATTGTAGGCTAATAGCCACATTGTAATCTTTGTAGAGATCACCAATCAATCAAAGAACTTTTTACAAATTTATTTTTATCTTTACTTTTCTCTAATTTAAATAGCTGGCCGTGAGTGCCTTTGGCCTTTGTATCTTTAAATTTCTTGTCATTTACTTTTTTGTCCAAAATTAACAAAGGACCCTTCACAACCTTTGTTGATTCTCCATTAATACTTCAAAAGATATTTCCTCTACACTTTTCGACGAAACATCTTTTTAGCACGCCTGATGGGATGCATTTTGTTGATTCGTGAAGATTACGATGACAAGAAATAAAAATCAGTAAGAGTCCAACAATGTTTTCGGCAGAAATAACCCATTACCAAAAACGGGTAATGAGGCTACTGCACATTCTAAGTCCTCAGCCATCGGAAAGTGGTGGAGGGTAACAAACAAGGAGATGTTTGATCTTTCGAGGCATCATACCGAAGAGCAGGTAAGGAATATTGCTCCAAATTCCAACATAGTGTCTACCATGAGAAGATTGCTCGAAGGATAACAAAATGAAATGGCTAATTATATCGTGAGTCACATGTTGTGTTGCGGAAGCCAAGCGATTGAACAGTAAAATAGACAAAACAAGAAAATAAATCGGACACCAGATTTACGTGGATTGATCATAGTGACCTACGTCCACGGGAGAGCAGTACGGAATTTCACTATAGATCAAGCGATACAATGAAGATTACAACCACACTCGAGTCACTCAAACACTCTAAATATTTCCCAAGCCCCAATTACACTCAATAACTAACGCAGTGTTTAGCCCCACAATTTCTCACGAAAAAACCTCTCAATCTCATGAATGAATTATACAAAAATCTTACCACGAGAATTTAATCGGCTTTAACACTAACTTCATGGGATGTAATTCACGAACAAAACTTCACTAAAGCAGCCCTGGTATGACTCTTTAGATAAACGTATATGCGCTGATTAGTCCTGGTAGAATGCTCTGCACTTGCCATGCTATGGATCTATGTATCAGAATTCTGCTATTACAAAGCAGTTCTAAGGTGCGAACCAAAATTCGAAGGGGGGCTTGGTGGCTAAAGGCAGTCCCTTTTATAAAGGCCTAGAGAGCCGTCTAAATGTGGGATAGCATACCTGCCACAAGCCTTATCTTCGTCTTCCCTATTTTGCATCTTAGCACCTATTTTTGATATCAGAGCCAGCGTTCTATTCAGCATACTTGTTTGTTTTTAGATGAAATACTAAATAGATAAGGTAGACTTGTTCCACCATGAGTGATTCTACTGATTCCACTCCACCAATCACTGTAAATGCTCCTTTAGAACTTCGCACTACAAACGTTTCTAAAATTGACTATCTTTATGGGGTTTCATACCTTAATGAAGATAGTAAAATTTAAGAAACTCACCTTCCACTTATAAATCCGTATTCTGCATTCGCAAAACCCTCTTATTTCTCCCCTCTCCGTTCCATCAAACAGCTCATTAAACATAGCCCTCGGGAAGTTAAGGAATATGTCCAGTCATCCCGATTCAACCAATATCCTATTCTCGCTACTCAGCAAGAGCATTTCATTATTCTCCAGATACCTTCTGATTTTCCATGTCAGTGGGTACAGCAAGGGTATACGCATCTCCACTTTAGTGCTATTTGCCTTGCTCTTTCTTTCCATGGTCGAAAATGATTACCTGTTGTTGCTCGCATGACCCTTTTAGACACTTGTTTCTTGGATTACCAACATGCTAGTATTGGTACAATCCAAACCACCCTCAATGCTAGAACAGTGTTTGTTACACTGTTTTCAAATTTCAACATGGCCCTTACGGACCCGAGACTTTTTTCTGCTCTTAAAGTTCAGCTGCAACTTACCGGAGCTCCTCAGATTCTTGATTCTATAGCCGCTACTTTACACTACCAAATGGTATACCAAGTCCAGAACCATGCTATCGATCTCAACTTCTCGGGCACAGAGGACGCTCTTTTTATCTCAGTAGACAATGATCAAACTTCCTGCGTCTATGTACCCAGGTAGATTCCTCGAAATCAACTAGTTAAGTTACTCCCTGACACTTGGATAACTAACTATGAAAAACTCCATCAGAATTCCAGGCCTATTCAATCCATGGAGTCTCAGTTCACAAAAAAAAAAAAAAAGATGGTACGGTTGTCATTAAATTTAGTAAAAAAAGAAGAAGAAGCCTCTTCTT